GACCTTTCAGAGCACGGGTTTTTGGCAACGTAAAATGGCGCCTTGTCGGCTTCACCTGAATGGAGGTGGTTGCGGGTCCAGTTTAATTATACGTCCGTGTTTCTGCCACTTGCGTGTGGTGAAATGGGGTCATAACTTATGAGACGGCTTTTTCATATCAATTATTTTACATAAAATCATATTTCAAACCATAAATAATGTTCGACAGCCAAATAAAAGAAACAATACCAATACAGGCTTACAGTTTAAGGCTCGACATTGTGTTGTCTACGATTAGACAGCTGATAACTCATTCCCGTACGTCGTATGGTCGTAACACTATAATGACCTTTGCTTATTGTCACATGTGCGCCGCATTCGCGATTGTTGCCGACGCCTGTTTGCAGGTGAGCCCACTACAGTTGTTATACATATCTAAAAACCGATAAACTTTTAGGCGAAAAAGGCACTATTCCAGGCCCATTTTTGATTTTTTTTTGCGATATTAGGTAAAAACAGAAGCTTCTTATCCTAGGAAAAATAAAATGGGAAATCTTTCAAAGGTGGCACACTACCTTTAAATGTTTACTTGAGATAACTAGGGGCTGTAATGAAGCTAAATTACGCTTCAGTTCAATTATGTGATAAATATTTGACTACTTTGCGCTTTGGATGCGAGCTGACCGTCAAATTACGTGTCTCGTTCCCTCTTTTTACGGAAGGACTTAATCCCAGACTGGCGTCGGCCTTGCCCTCTGTTTTTTTTATTCCCCACAAGGGGCGTTCCACGACAAATCGACAAGTGCCCTGCACCCTCATATTTTATTTTTTGCTTAAAATTGGTCTAATGGGTTGCGATGGGCGGGGAAGCCAGCTGTGGCAAGGATTTTTTTCTTCAAACAACGGTTTCCGAGATATAGCCTCGGGCAATTCCTGGAATTTACGCTGCAACCCTATGTTTGGCGGCTTATAACTCAGAAACTATTGGTTCTCTATGATAAAAACTTTATATGGTTCAACTCACAATCAACCAACAAACATTTTGGCTATCTCGGATTTTCAATTTTTGAAAATTTTGATCACGTGACCTTTTGTCCTATTTTTCGAAGAGTGACCTTGATATTTTCCCCACTGAAAGTTGCAAATTTGTCTGATGACGATTAAAGCCTTATCAATTGTCATTCATATGCGAAAATAAAAAAAGTGGTTATCGCCCTGCGTTGACCTCAGGTCAGGTCATTTTTATGACCTGTCCATTATTACGAGCGGGAGCGACAGCGAGATCTCGAGAATAAAGCAAGATAGCGACAAGCGGTAAACGGTACAGGGTACACACGGATAAGGTCTATAATTTTTACTGAGGTCATTTTCAGGTCAGGTCAAAGATGACGTCATAGGAGCAAAAAGGAAGTCAAAATAGCGGCACTTTACATATATATGAGGTTTTTCTCGAATAACTTTAAAGATATCCCAGCTAGGAACAAACTAATAGCACCATCGTGATCCTCTCGTCGATCCGCATCGAAACATATGTATGTTGACCTCGAAAGGTCGAAAGGTCAAAAGTTGACCTTAGGTCACGTGACATAAGGTCAACTTTTTACCTTTCGACCTTTCGAGGTCAACATGCATATGTTTCGATGCGGATCGACGAGAGGATCACGATGGTGCTATTAGTTTGTTCCTAGCTGGGATACCTTGAAAGTTATTCGAGAAAAACTTCATATGTATGTAGTGCCACTATTTTGACTTCCTTTTTGCTCCTGTGACGTCATCTTTGATCTGACCTGAAAATGACCTCAGTAAAAATTTCAGACCTTATCCGTGTGTACCCTGTACCGTTTACCGCTTGTCGCTATCTTGCTTTGTTCTCGAGATCTCGCTGACGCTCCCGCTCGTAATAATGGACAGGTCATAAAAATGACCTGACCTGAGGTCAACGCAGGGCGAAAACCACTTTTTTTATTATCGCATATGAATAACAATTGATAAGGCTTTAATCGTCATCAGACAAAATTTTAACTTTCAGTGGGGAAAATATCGAGGTCACTCTTCGAAAAGTAGGTCAAAAGGTCACGTGATCAAAATTTTCAAAAATTGAAAATATGAGATAGCCAAAATATTTGTTGGTTGATTGTGAGTTGAACCATATAAAGGTTTTATCATAGAAAACCAATAGTTTCTGAGTTATAAGCCGCCAAACATAGGGTTGCAGCGTAAACTCCAGGAATTGCCCGAGGCTATATCTCGGAAACCGTTAGGCCGCGTTCCCACTACGACCGTTCAACATCGTAAATTGCAAGAACGGGAGCAAACGGACGAGATCGTTGATCTAGAGACTTTTCTAAAAAAGTTGAACACTTCCCTAGATCTGGTATACGGGGCAAGATGGGGAAACATCGTGAGACATCTTCAATCGGCTTGGACAAAGCCAATTGAGAGGAGCGATGATGAAGGAGGGATCGGCACAATAAGCTATTGTAAAAAAAAAAGTTCAGAGTACCTATAGGTAGTTGACGTGGTAAAAGATCCCATGCAACTGAATGAATGATAAAATTAGAAAACCTTTTAAATTTATTAGCGTGTTAAAAGCAAGCGAGCATGGGAAAATATATCACCAATGCCAGCGAAAAGCATTCACATCTGTGATAACGACAATTTATTGACTTTTGAAGAGAAAATGTGTGCAGTTGATATAACTCATTGTGGTGTTGCTGTGAATACCTTCGGGAAGCTGTAACCGATAAACTGCAAGTTCCGATGATTTCTTAACAGTTTATTATTTCAATCCTCGTTAAAACACTTAGCAAGTTGAAGCAGGCTGCAATGCAACTGAATTTGCCGACACAGGTTCAGCGATTTAGGTATACGAGTACAAGTATACGGAGCCGGCATTCAGCTTACAGCAGTGTCACAGCTCATGTCACCATCGTCATGTGACCACGCCATCTCGTCAGGCGATGCTAGAATTGTATGAAGACAATTATTGTGGCAATTCATTGTGGACCAAAAACATCAGGTGTGCGTCCTGAAAACGGATTTACGAGGCACCATTTGGTCCACCTGAAGACATATCCTCAACCGAACAGACGAGAAACACTTATGAAGTTATGAGTTAAGCAAGGAAACTGACACCGTGTGCTCAATGAAGATAAGCGAGTGCATTCGAGCACAACGGTTCACAGCAGATGGTGGCAACTGTCGACGTTTGTCTGACTCTGCAGTGTGGCGTGGCATCACAATGCAGCGGTCTTCCAGAGAAGAGCTTGGCCTAAGTGTTTGAGACCCAGGCCTGTCTACCTGAATCTACGATGCAACTCTTGGTAGCTGGCGCGCAACCGGATGGCTACTTTATCTATCTCCGAGATTCTGAGTTCCGGAGCGGTGCTACGAAAAGAGGGAGATGAAGTGCAAGTCGCACCTGTTCTGACATAGCGAGGATCATTCGCTCAAGAGTCGCATGCGATGTGCATAAGAAGGACCAGACAGCCCAATGACAATCGCATGCTTCGCATGTGGTCGTCCCAATCATATGGCGCGGTCCAGATGGCCTTGATCCAGAAGACACTGTGATTGTTTGAGCCTCGAATAAGGCCCTCAGTGACGATCCGACGGTGGAAGCTGCGTATGTTGAACGAGGAGTGGCCGGCCGCTTGAGGTCATAAGTGAGCGACGACGCCGGTGGCCACGATTGTCGGAAATTCTGCCTTTAGTTTCACAAGAGCAAGTGCTGCTGCGGCTATGTATCAGGTATCACTGTTAGATGATGTAAATAAACGTTTGTTATTTGCGCAGCATTTGCAGTGGCATGACATTATTTGTAGGATTCTTATTTCCAGGCCCTGATGGTAGATAAATGAATACATTGCACTAGACCTACGGTAAACCTGCCGAAAAGTTAAGTTATTCATCGCCACTTATGCGCTCGCCTACATCTATGTATATAATTAGAGCTATGTAGCTTTCATCCGCAAAAATGCACCACCTTTCATGCCTTGCTGCTTGTCTTCTTACTTTGAATATCAAGAAACTTCCCAAAAAGGGCATCCTGCTCTATGCACTGCCTAAAAATGCTTATTAGTGTCATTTAATATACCTTCACAAACACAAACCACAAACCTTCAAGAACGTTCAAAAAGTTGAACACTGTTCAACTTTTTGGCGACCTCACCAACCAACCAACATGGGGAGCAAACTTACAAAACCTTACAAATGCCTCCACCCGAAAACACGTGTCAAAAACCCGGTTCCCACCACCACCGGCAGAGATCGTAAAAATGCATGCTGTGATTTTGCCGATCTTGCCGGTTTTCTCCCGTTATTTTACTTTACGATGTTGAACGGTCGTAGTGGGAACGCGGCATTCGAAGAAAAAAATCCTTGCCACAGCTGGCTTCCCCGGCCATTACAACCCCTTACACCAGTTTTCAACGAAAAATAAAATATGAGGGTGCAAATTTAATTTTTTATTTGTCGATTTGTCGTGGAACGCCCCACAAGGACGGACACGTTATTTTCTGTCTGCTGCTTCGCTTATAAGACACAGTTTACTGATTTAGCGTCTTATCACACGACCAAGGAGCTGTTTCTATCTGGTTTGGCGGCATTAACTTTCATTCATTTTCTGATCCTGCGCTTGTTTTCCTTTGACGGCGGTGGTGAGGGAGTGGTTGTTTTGTTATGAAACTACACTGGACTGCCACATAGCATGCTGTGGCGCTTTGCACATATTACTCATCCCAGACTACCACGACATTTCTCTATTATGTATATGTAATTAGTTTTCTTTATGTGACTGTCTTTAAAAAGAAAGAAAGCACAATCTTTTATTAAATGCAGTAACAAACAATGTCACTTTATCACGACCATTCGTTCGGTCTTCTGTACGCTATCCTATCGAGTCTTCGTCATATTTACTTGCTACACTCCCGTCTGACTTTGGACGGTGCCTACCCGTGCCCTATCTCTGACCCACCGCTAACCCGACCCTGACTGACCCGTTCCCTCCCGGTCTGTTGCAGCGCTGTTTGGGCCCGCTGCCAGTGATGCCGTCCCCCGGGCATACACCAACGGGCACGATATTCGGCTGGAGATCAGCAAAAATGGCTTGTTTCATGTTTTCTTCGAGTGAGTACTGAGCGGAATAATGGAGTTTCGAGCGTTGATATCTGAGTGATCTGTCTTTTCGTCAGCTACTTTGGAGCATCATAATTCATGTAGCTATCTGCTTGTCACCGTTCCCTGACCTCAGCTGTACGCTGGAGGATCTGACCTAACCTGACCTCCCCCGACCGCCAGCGCGCCGGTGCCGGAGGAACTCACGCTGACCTTTCATCGGAGCGACGAGTCCGTCCTGGGGGAGCTGGCGCCCCTACAGATAGCCGCCAACAGTACAGAGACCATCACGGTGCGGCTGGAGCCGCTTCACCGGGGACACTGCACGGTCACTGCCAACACGTCACTGCCCGAGGACCAGTTCAGGTGGGTCACGGGAGGTCACTGCACGTCACTGCTAACATGTCACTGTTGGCCAGAGCACGGCCAACATGTCACGGCCCGAGGACCAGCTCAGGTGGGTCACTGCCCGGTCACTGCAGGTCACTGCCCAGTCAGTGCAGGTCACTGCAGGTCTCCGAACGGTCAGCGCGTCACTGCCCGAAGACCAGTTCAGGTAGGTCACTACAGGTCACCACATGGCCACTGTCAACATGTCATTGCCCAAGGTTCAGTTCAGGCTGGTCAGCAGCCATTGCAATGACAAGTTGGTAATGCTCCACTGCCAAATATAAGAGCTGCGCCCTTGTCGCGGGCTGACCGACCCAGGCTATCGCCGTGCTGTCCGCGTTAGTAGGTATCAGTGTCGCACAGAAGGAACGCCATGTCAGGACAGTGGTCCTGTGCTTAGGACTGGGGCACGCCAGCTCAACTATTAGGTCAGTGGTCTCGGCCGACCTCTCAGGTCATCGGTGTACCTTTTTTGTCTGGGTTGTTTAACGACTACTACCTAGTACTTACACACAATACGCTTTTACGGCATGATTCAGCGTCTCACAAAAGTTATAAAAGGCATGAGAACGTGAAGAAGCAAATATTCTCCGTAATCCTCGTGACAAACATATCAGTTCTTACGCATACACCCCGTAAAATAGTCGCCCTATCTTTCCGTTTGAATCGCTTGGTCTCCATAAACTGCTCCTGTCTGGTCGTTGGTATCTGCTCAGCTCTCCCGCGCGTGGCCCCCGTCCCCTCTCGGGTATATTCTCGACCTCTGGCGGTATCTCTCACTCTCCCCGCCCGTTAGATCGCTCCGTGATATCGCTGTCAGGACTGCCCGCAGATTGCGAGTCAAGTGCCCCCCCCCCCCCCACTGAACTACCTGCTCCCCCCCCCCCGCGCAGTAGCGGCGCACTCCACCCAATGACTCGGCACTGGGCGGGTCATCACGTGACACCGTGACCGACCACCGTGACCCCCCCCCCCTCCCCCTCATTCCGCACCTGTGTCCGTCATTCGCGCACTGGCGGATGTGCTCAGGGACGGTGGGATGGATTGCGCTAACATGTGCTGACAGCGGGTTACATACAGTACGGGTACACTTGAGGGGTAGTGGCATCATGATCAGACTCGGTTGATAAAGTAGTCATCTGCTAAGTCGCCACTCGTTGCATCAAATCTACCGGGCGATATGGTATCTATAATTTGCATATTTTCCTACACCAAATTACAATTATCACAGTTATGTACGTCTTCTGATGTTCTAGATATGCCTAGCGGCTAAAACTATGAATTTATCCAAGCTTGGTCCAAATGCCCGCGATTTAGTTTTGTCAAGTCTCGCTAATAAAACAGAACCGGGCGCGCATTGTTTACTTGCACGCTAGGACCGGGATGGCGTGACTCTGTGTCGAACGTCAGGTTGGTAACTGGAATGGGACTGTTTCATAACAAACATTCCGCCGCACAATACAATGAGCAAATTTGACCAAAGAAGGCTTCGCGACTTTAGCACTGAAATAATCAAACGAATACGACTTTTTTTCTTAAAACAAGGAATTCCGACATCTTGCATAGAAAGGCTTCGGCAATAAATTATCTAACAGCTGGGGCATTCCACGATAGATCGTACCAGGCCCGTCACCCTCATCTCTCAGATTTTAATGAAAATCGGTCCTAGGGGTAATCATAGGCCCCAAAGACGCCTGGCAAAACTTCTCAGATCCAAACTTTTTGAGTTATATTGCATTACATTTTTTTAACTTCGGTATGTAACGGTGAGTTTGATGGCCTATAACTCAAGAACGGGTTAAGCAACCAACAAAAAGTAAACAGTAAGCTTGCGATGAATCAAAAATTAATATTACTATTTAAAAATTCCAAAGAAAAAATTTCATTGTTGAGCAAAAACCTTAATCTTTTTTCATTTGCCTCTAATGACTTTTGGGACCAAAATTTTTCACATTTTTATTTTTTTCAAAATAAACTTCATGTCATTGCAAATCGACATGCAAAAAATTAGAAAGGTGTTCTTTCTATAAGTTCCTCATTTTCCCGCAAACAAAATGGGTTTCGGAGGGGTTGATACGACCCCAGCACGCCGTTTCGCTTCTAATAGAGCTAGAGCCTCGCGGAAAAAACGAGCGTGTGTGCCGTTACAAGTTGCAGCAATTGGTACCCGATTTTAAGGTCTCAGGTTAACCGGTAGCGTCTGAGGTCAGGTCACGTGACTGAAGTTACGGGTTCGGTTTTTAGTAAATAACTTCGCAAAAAATGGCCGCAGAGCCACGATTTTGGCATCATTGTGTTCGCCTAGCTCAGGTGCATGGAATGGTATACTTTTTGCTAGGGTGAGGTCAACTTAAGTAGTTGACCTCGGGTGGTCAAGGTCAGGTCAGAGCCCCTCAGGTCACGAAGCTGGGCAAAGGGTATCATATGGCATATCATTCGATTCGAAAGGTCTTCCCGAGTCCATTGGTGGCTTTCCCGACTCTCTAGCTCCATTTGATCGGGAGTTATTGACGAAAAACTCGTACGACCCTAGTGACGTCATAAATGACGTCACGCAAGGTTAACAATGCAAAAGTAAAGCATTGGACTTTGCAAGGAGTGCATGAAATCACGATACCATGTACGTGGGATAGTTTTAGATCATTCTCGGCGCCAAAATAACAGTTTTATATTTCCCCATTGATTTATAACAGTGATGTCACGTGACCGACCTGACCTCATGTAACCTTGAAAAATTCCCAGATATACAAGTTGTGAGACCTCTGGAGGACACCATGTATGCGTCCTGTAACTTTAATCTCGGACAGCTATGGTCATTGGCGTCCAAAACAATGTCAGAACCAAACAGCCTTTTTCACCCTCGCGCTTATAGGAAAGAGGGTTGGATGAACCCTCTTTTCACTTTTTTTCAGATGACTCAGACTTAAATTGAAATTTTAGTAACCCGTCATGTCACTAGGCAGCTTTACCACGCCATATGTAAGCTCCCCTCCCGAAATCACTATTCGAAACCGTTATCGTGACGTAAAATAAATACATTTATAGAAAGAACACCTTCCTAGTTTTTTGCATACTTCTTAACAATGAGCCAAATATTTTTTTAAAGAAATAAAAATTAAAAAAATTGTCCCAAAGTCCAAAAAATACAAATGAAAGAAAACTCGATATGTCACATATCAAAAATAGCGTATTTTTCGAAATTTCAAAAATACATATTAATCTCTGTTTCATTGCAAGTTCAATGTTATATAACATTTGGCATTTGAATAATCCGTCTTAGAGTTACAGCCCGCCAAACTTAGCGCTGCAAAGCAAGATCCAAAAAATGTTATACACCATAGCTCAAAAATACTTATCTGATAAGCCCGAAATTGTTACAGGTGGATTCAGAGCCCCTGATTACCCCTGAGACCAATTCTCGTCAAACTCCGAGAGATGAGGGTGTCAAATTGGAAAAAAGTGGTACGATCTATCGTGGAATGCCCCAGCTGTTAAAGCAGATAATTTTTAAACACGTTTCATAGCTTTGCTTTTAGCCTTGAAACCTAGTAAAGTGGGTCTTTTTAGCTTCGTCCCCCTTTATCGTCATTCAACCCTATTGCCAGTAAGGACAATCTGTTTACCTCCCGGCCAAAATGTGCGACAGTCCGCTTACACCCTAATGATGTTCATGCATTACAATGTCCCTCTCCCCCGGCAGTGCGTCTGATGTCTACGTGCGCGTCAACGTGCTGGAGACGTTCGGTCTGGACACGTTCAGCTCGGTGGTGGGCTGGGTCTATTTCGCCGCCTGGACGGTGTCGTTCTACCCGCAGATATACACCAACTACAGACGAAAAAGGTGGGTGGCCGCGCGCTTACCTGACTATCGGGCGCAAGGAGACGGGTGACGAATCACATGCGTGATGGGGCCACGATCCTAGTGGGGAACCTAGCCCTTGCTCGACTGGTAATTTTGTCTAGAACTAAGTTGTATCTTCCCGTTGATAAAATGATCGCTTTGTCAAATGTTTGTAGTATGTAATATGTATGCTGTTGATAGCCATCTTTTACAACATGGATTATGCTATTTTGTACGATGATCAAACCAACTAGCGAGTGGGTAATGCCCGATAAGTTCAGGCCGGTTTTTTTTTTTTTTTGCCTGTTAATATCATACGAAGTCATGCCACTCCGTTTTGCAATGTTCTGACATCGTAACCCTCCCACTCGTTCTGCTTGCAGCGTGGTCGGCCTGAACTTTGACTTTCTGGCGCTGAACCTGGTCGGGTTTACATTCTATTCGGTGTTCAACTGCGGGCTGTACTTCTCAGTCGCCATTCAGGTCAGTGGCCACTACCTACCCGGCACGGCTGGTGGAGAGGAATCGAGAGGGGCTATTGTCGGCGTAATGTTTGACCTTGATTGGTAAAGTTTATGACAATTCGGTGAGCTGTGATTTAAATCTGCGAATATATTCGCCTACCCTACCCATGTCGTGATTTATTATAAACTAATGGCTTCATCCAGTCTTTGCAACTACTGTTTGTATTCTGCTTAGTTCTGCAGTCCGAGACCTTAAGGTGCAACCGCTGTCCGCTATGAGCTCTGTGTGAGGTCCCCAGCACGCTGTGATAACCGTGGTTGGTGACCCTGGCCTCCGTCCCGCAGGACATGTACTTTGCCGACCACCCCTACGGCCTGGTCCCGGTGGCGGTCAATGACGTTGTGTTTGCGCTGCACGCGCTGTTCGCCTGCATCGTCACCGTACTGCAGTGCTTCATCTATGAGGTGAGTTCGGCCGACCAGCCCATTTTCCTTGAGTATACTGAAGGAGGGTCCTATGTTCCTAAAAATAACTAACAAGGGATCGGCTGCTTCAGTAGAGGTTTGCTGGACTGCAGACCTCACTACTGCAGTTACTGCATCGTTTTTGAAAGAAGTCCTATTCCAGGGTTTGGGTGTTTACTAGTGTGACTATTGACTCATCCGCTCTAACGTGCCTTAGTCGTGCCGCGTTTCCTCCCTCCCCGACTGACCTCCCCTCCCCCTGCCTCTCCCCGTCCCCAGCGCGGTGGCCAGACAGTCTCGCTGGCGGCTCGCGGCCTGCTGGTCGTCTTCGCGCTGGTCATCATCATCACGGCCATCGTGGCCGGCTGCGGCGTGGTCAACTGGCTCTGGTTCCTCTACGTCTTCTCCTACGTCAAGCTGGCCATCACCATCGTCAAATATGTGCCGCAGGTCAGATGAACAGACAGATTATTGTCAGTGATTGTTGTGGTACTTTCATATAGGGAGGGTCGGAATGCAGCCGTGGTTTTGTTTTGTTTTTCCTCGCCGTTTTTCTTCTCATTTTCGTGTCGCACGTTACTGGGCTTGTTCATAATTTGGAAGTTTACCTTAGCTACTGAGGCCTGTGTTAACAGCCGTTACTACGCACTTAGCTTTAGATAAAACCTATCTTGTCGTCTTTCTATCTGCGGCTGCACTGGACGGGTCATTCAATAGCTGACCTGGCCTGCCATCTGTCGGTCGACAGGCGTACCACAACTACCAGCGCCGCAGCACAGAGGGCTGGGCGATCGGTAACGTGCTGCTCGACTTCACCGGCGGCTCGCTCAGCATTCTGCAGATGTTCATCGATGCCTACAACTACAGTACGTACTGCTAACGGCATGGGTCCTCCCAGGTCATGAGCCCGGAGGCTTGAAACAAGGCATACCAACCTTTGAAGCACAACTGTCACTTTGGGCTTGCGTTCAGCTATCCAGGGTTTGACCTGAGACTACACATGTATAGTCGACTACATAATGATGTTCCACTTTTCACAGGCAATTATTTGCCTGGAGTGGTAGGCTGTGCCGCATCACACGGGCTGAGTTCACAAATTATAGCTTTGTCCCAATGCTCACAATCGACACGCTTAATTGCGTGATAAACGGCACAACTTAGCGCTCCGGTCAACTGGTAGCTTCTGAGGAGTGAAACATCATTCTGTAGTTGACTATACTTTCTCCATCGATTCAACGTAACCTTTCCCCTCTTTCCACTGTGTCTGATCCTCATTCACTGCTCTTCCTACGCCGTCTAACCGTACATGCTTACCTTCGACAGACGACTGGTCGTCGATATTCGGCAACCCGACCAAGTTCGGTCTGGGCCTGTTCTCTGTGCTGTTCGACATTCTCTTCATATGCCAGCACTACTGTCTCTACCGGTAAGTACCGTTTGTACCGTGATGTACCGGGCGTGCCTTTACTGGCGTACCTGTGGTGTAGCTCAGTGGGCAATTTGTCTCATACTGTCGTGCATCGGATGCTACCGACTTGACACAATGGCAAGTCATGTGGGGGCTTTCAACGGATGTCTCGCTCGTTTTTTCATTCAGTTTTATTTAAGCTGAATTTGGAAAAGTCTTGCACTTGATCTCAACACGCGCTTTCCTCGACAAAGGTGCTTCGAGGACATTGTAAAATATAGCAGTCTCGTGGATGTCCCATACATTGTGCTGTTGTCTTGCTCTCCTTAGTACTTGGCTCTCGGCCGTTCCACCGTCTTGTTCGCCGTCCGCTTGCTGCACACAAAGCTCTACCATGTTACAACTGTGTCGTAACGTACCGTACCGTGCCGTACCGTGCTGTATCGTTCAGTGCCGTACTGTGCCGTTCCGTGCCGTGCTGAGGGGACGCTTCTTGCAGCGACAGCAGTCCGTACTCGGCAATAGACGGCGGTCCGCCGCTGTTGACTCCAACGGAGCTCATTAGCTAGGTGAGTGTCCCGCTGCCGAGCCCGACTCCCCCTCCCACCCACAACACACTGAACTGACCAGCCAGTGACTGTCGCGGCTCTCTGGAATGGTGCTGGGACCCCATCCCCGCGAGGGTTCTCTTTTTTAGGAGAGAACTGGCTGGAAATTTTACTTCTAGAGTGCTCCTGTCGTAGGACCTTGGTGTTGATTACAAATGAGAATCACTATCAGGATTTTCACCGCCTTGGCCTTGTGTTACTTTGCTGGTCCATTTATACTTGCTGGCTGACCGTGTCGCCATCTCCTCTCCGCAGTTCCCGGCCGGATGCCTCTGAGCTGCCCATCAGCTCCTCTACCTCGGGGACGGGCAACACCCATGAGGCCTACACCAAGTTCTAGCTCTTCCAGTCGCCTGTCGACGCGGGCGGCTTGCCGTTGCTGTGTGGCCGAGAGGGACTCCTACCGCCCCTGTGTAGCTGAGAGGGACTCCTACCGCCCCTGTGTAGCCGAGAGGGACTCCTACCGTCGCTCGCGGTGTGGCTCGCCACTGTTTCGGGGCGATGTGGAGCCACTGCCGAAGCTCTCCTGCCACGTAGATAAAGCGTGGGTGACGGTAGGGTCGGTTATTGCCGGCGTGGCTTTGACTAGCTGTCTGCTATTGCCAAGAACTCGGTCTGAGAGACGCAGACTGTGCCCGCGAGACTCACCGTACCAGCTGAAAAGTGATAGAAGGGACGGGGTCGTTCAACTGCTCAGTGTCAGTGGTGATATAGTGGTCGACAATGATAGAATGCTGTCCCCGTGCTCCTACTGGGGTGCGGCAGGGATAATACTTGATCAATGATCATGACGTTTTAGCTCACGTGTGGAGTGTAGTTAGCCGAGGATTGAGTATAGTATCGCTAGTTGATACTCACGATGGGTGCTGTTCCGTTTACATGATATTTGATTCCATGAACGGGGGCCAATATTTACGCTCCCTTAGGTATCTACTGGCCATGCTAGTCGACTGCTCCGATTGCTCGGTGGGATGGTCTGTCACGCACGATAGTGTTATTACTGGACCCTGCGGCAGACGGTGATATGTGAATAGCGCGCCTGCGTGGTCCATATAGTCTCCGGTGTCTATGAGCGCAGCGCTGGGTTTGAGGCCGGCCAGTCCCGCCATTGATCAAAGTATTATTTATCGTGTTTGTTTGTGTGTTGATAGAGGTGTGTGCGTGTTGTGCCATATTTATCATTTGTTCTGATTTGTATTAGCTTTATTTCACAGTATGCGTCATATTAAGTCGTAAACCGTGATATATTCATTGCCGTGTTATATATATTTAGCGGGGACCTGAAGAACAAATGAAATTGATATCGTAGATTGGGATCTCGACAATCGACTGTTTCACGTTGTATTATGTATCAGTGCTGTTTTATTTTCAATGCTCTTCGATCGAGAAGGCTTGCTATCGCTCGATTTTGAACAAGCTTATCCAGACCATCAAGTTTACCGTGCCATGTTGACTCAATTTTCGCACTGGACATTTCCTGCGCCTATAAGTGTCATCAAGTAACATTAGCGTTACTGGCCGCTATGAGCTAGTCTTGTATTGTTTATAGGCGCGAATATTCGATGCGATGCGAAACCCTTGTATAATTCCAAACTGCTTTTAAACGGAATTGCTAAACGTTGCAACATTTAACCGGACATGCTAAATAATATTGCTTTGCGTTGTTTCATTTTACAAGGTGGACAATCCTTGCTGGAGTCGGAACTATGTCGTCACAATAAGCCTATCATGATCGCTGGATTTTGACTGCCAGTGTCTGATGTATAATTGCACAGTGTTTATACAACTTATATCGGTCGTTCTATTTAGTATTTGTATGCGCTTCTGGGAAGCAAACAAGACCGGAGAGGTGGTTTGCGTGAACGCTGCGGTAAAACTCAGCCTTTGAATTACCGCGCGAGGCGTCGGGTGCGCTCTGAGACGTATTTTTACCCCAGACGCGTGGTAAAAATGACCACCAGGCGCAGTGAGCATTAGCACGCCGACGGGTGGTAAATTGGTGGGTGGCCACGGTAACCTTCACGGCGCCGCTGCAGGGATATCACGGAGGGCAGACGGGGACAGTGATAAATACGGGATCGCGGTAATTATATTGGGCGCTACGGAACTGTTCAGTCTCGTCTGGTGTAGACAAAAAGAGAGCTAAACGTAGAGAGTTAAAAAGAGAGATAAAGGACAAAGGTATCATCTTCCTAAATTGATGGAAAGAGAGAAAGAGATGGAAGATGACGGAAGAGATGTCCGAAATACATGATGATGAGATGATGGAAAGAGAAAGAGAGAAAATAGAGGAGGAAAGAGATAGACAGGGGAGCGGAAGTGGGGAATGAGGGAAAAGTGGTAATCGTCGACATTGTCACAGTGTTGCAAAGGCGTCACGGTTCTCGCCGTCCTCCCCATACCTCGCCTTTCCAAGGTTCCTTCGTCTCCGGTCACATAACTCGACGTCGTGAGCAGCTGCCGAATCACGTGACCTCAGCGGACAATCTGGTAAAAATGGCGTGGACCTTCGCCGGCCGGGGATATAAGCAGCGGCAGAATAAGGAAGCTCAGAGGCTGCTGTGTCAGGCCAGGTGCCATGACGCCGCTTCTGCTGCTGGTGGCGCTACTGGCGGCTAAAGCTGGCCGGGGCGCGACTCTCGGTCTGCCAACAAGTGAGTAGAGCCGCGAAGAGGTTGCCGCTTAGTGCCTACTTTCAGCTCCTAGCTTGTATTGTTCGTTTTCACTGTCAGATGTTGTTTGGCTCCAGTTTTTCAATTGTATCTCGAAAGGTTTCATACGCTTTTGTTAGCAGTCTATTGTTGACAGCTTGTCATTCTGACTGCACCCCTCACTCTGTATAACTCAGACTGATAACCTGACGCGGCCACACCCGTCTCTGCCCTCTTCAGCATGTGGCGCCGAGACCTGCGGCCCTGGGGAGGAGTGTCGACTGCTGGTGGACTGCGGCGCTGACCCGCCGGCCGACCCCTCTTCTCTACCGACCCCCGACACCTACCTCCCTCCGTGCGAGCCGCGGACAGTCTGTGTACCAACTCCTTCCTGCGAGTCGGTCCGCTGCGGACGGGGCGAGCAGTGTCGACTGGAGACAGACGAGTCAGCGTCCGATCGGTACATCCCGCCGCTACAGCAGCCCGTCTGTCACACAGTCAGCTCCTGTGACGAGCTGAACTGCCCTGACGGACACCGGTGTGTGGCTACCTCAGACTGTGAGAACGCACCGCCGGAGCTGGACGGGTACCTGCCGCCCTGTCGCACGCGGTATGTGTGTGAGAGAATGACCTGTGAGGAGAAGGAGTGTGGGACGGCGGAAAAGTGTCAGATAAGGGAGAATGGACCTGTATGTGAGGCCAGAACGTGTGACGATATGGATTGCAAACCAACAGAGAAATGCGAGGTTGAAGAATCAGGACCCATATGTAAAACAAAAACATGTAACGACATTAAATGTGAAGAGAATGAAAAGTGTGAGATTAAAGAGTCGTATCCCGTCTGCCGAAGCCTCACTTGTGGTGACATGAACTGTGAAACAAATGAGCATTGCCAGATGGACGGAGGCTTACCCGTGTGTGTGAAGAAGACGTGTGAAGACGTTCAATGCCAAGCCAGGGAGAAATGCGAGCTGACTGAATCTGGACCCGTCTGCCGACGACTCACTTGTGCCGACATCAGTTGTGGCGACGAGGAAGTCTGCAAATTTAACGAAGGAGTGCCAACATGTCAGACCAAGACCTGTGAGGATGTCGTCTGTGACGAGAGCGAGCATTGTCAGCAGACTTACGACGGACTGCGGTGCCTACCGAGATCCTGCGAGGATACGGGCTGTGGGGAAAACGAGGCCTGTGACTTGACCACGGTCGTGCCCGAGTGCCGCCCGCTGACCTGCTATGACTTCGACTGCGATGACCTGGAGAAATGTCAGGTCATTGATGGGGTTCCTGGGTGTCATAATTTGAGCTGTACAGATATAGAGTGTCAACCACACGAGAAATGTGACATTGAGGTCGGCGTTCCTACGTGCAATATCAAAACATGTGAGGATATTGAATGTGAAGCCAATGAGAAATGCGAAACCGATGGAGGGATCGTGGCATGTGTTGCAAAAACCTGTGACGACATTGAGTGTTCCCCAAGCAAAAAATGTCAACATGAGGACGGCTCTCCCACCTGCATCCCGAAAACCTGCAGTGACATTGAATGCGACTTCGATGCAACATGCGAGCTGACCGCGTCCGGACCATCGTGTACGTGCGGCGGTGTGCAGTGTGGTGACACGGAGGTCTGTATTACCACCTACTGGGGCCCGACCTGCCTGCCTGCGAGCTGTGAGCTGACCGGCTGCCGTCCGGGGCAGGTGTGTAACACGCGCGACATCGTGCCCTCCTGTCAGCCTGCCTCCTGTCCGTCGGAGATCCAGTGCGGACCGCAGCAGACGTGCCGGGTGGTCGACGGTGCTGCCACCTGTGGGGGAAATGAGGAACTAGGTGGTGGTGGTGAGGCGGAGGAGGGAGATCGTACCTTGACTGGCTATCCGTCCCCATCAACCAGGGACACAGATGACCGATATAGAGAGGAGGCTGAAGGCCGAGGAGGCATCCCTCCTGGGTTAGTTGATGGCGGCTCAGCTGAATTTGTCATAAAAGACAACATAAATGAGCTGGAAACGGGGAAAACAGGACCGAGAAAGAAGAGTACCGGTGATGCGACACACGGCGGTGTGGATGGTCCGATCGGCGGTAACGGGCACTCGAGCTTTCCGACGGAGGTGCGAGCTGATTCTCATGCGGGCTTTGTCTCACCAGCAGGGCATGTCTCGGATCCGGAAACTGAGGGAGCCCACTCGGGAGCGAAGATGATCAGCTGTGCTGACCTTACCTGTCTGGAGGGCCAGAGCTGCGTGGTACTCGCCAACGTACCGGCCTGTGTCCCTGACCGATGGTGGCGCCACTTGATACACATGCAGCGCCACCTACAATAGTGTTCGCACTTGGCTGTCTTGTGGATCTGGTTGCTTACCCAACGTATTATTCGAAGTTTGAAGAAGATAGTGGTTACACAGGCTTCGTTTTGCGTAGGAAAACTCATCCTTGATGAATCTTTGAAGCGCTCGGAGTGCTCAGTGTCCATAGGCTATGGAACTGGTGTTGAATGGTGAATAAATTGATGGGGTAGGACAGTTGAATGCGTTTGAATGACCTAGCCTCAGAACTTCGAAAAGCATAATTTTTTTCTGGCGCCAACATTTCGAGACGGAACGCTAAGTAAATGGTGAAAATAACAGTATAATGTACCTAACCGAGGTAAATAATAACGTGGAAATCCGGGCCGAAGAATAGGAGAGAAATTTCCCGCAATGACGAGGGAATTATCTAACTGGTCCTTTCTATTGAGAATATGGTAGCAAATAATTCTCACAAAACTAGCGCGACAGTTGCAAACGTGACCTTTGATTGCTTTGATTGGTGAATGGAAAGACGTTTTTTTTCAGAATTTAATTATTATTAATCTTACCTTACCATTCGTCCAAGGCCCCGGCGGCGGCCCCGGCCATCGAGACCTAACATCTCAAGTCACCTGTTCTTCTTTCTGTAAAGAGGTATTTGCACAAATAAAGATAGTGCATCAGCATTTTCAAATTGGCCATTCAAGGCCACTTCAGTTTCAAATCATGTTGATGTGACAAATTGTCATAGCCTGAAATGGCTCATGAGTTTTAGTTCAGTTGATATACACTAACAGGCCTAGAAATGTGGTTCTGGCATCTTCCTGGGATGCCAGGCTTACTAATACCGAAAATTCTGCATATTGCAAAAATTCAAAATTTTGATTCCATACGTACTGTCGTGCAGTCTAAAACATACTTTTCTTCATTAAAATAATGTTTTTTATTTATTTAAAAAATAATAGATTTCAGGTGCCGCAAGGGGGAGGGATTTGCCCGAAATGTCCCCCTTGGATCTACCAATGGTGATTTCTGACAAGATACAGCACAACTTATCAACTGCTGATATCTGCATTACAGTAAAAGGCTCTGAACATATTGTGCAAGATAGTAAATGACTACATTTTAACTCAAGCATGATGATAAAACATTCACACTGCTTGCTCTATGTAAAGAGAAGGATTATCAAATATCAGTTCCCAAAACAATTTTATAATTGTGTCTATTTTACATTGCAACTCTGAACTTCCACAGCCCAATGTACTAGTAGGTAGGTAGTAGGTATTGTAAGACCTGCTATTATAGGTAGTCATTTTATAATAATTTTCCTGTGCTTTGAAATAAAATTAAGATTACTGTTGTCTTGACTTGTTTTGAAGCACCTATTTCAGACTCTAAACAACAATTATCAATTAAGTGAATTGTGTTTTTGTCTATCATTTTCTAGAATTAAAGATACTGGAAAATAGTTATCTGCCAATCTATTACCCAACTTTCATCAATGATCATTCAATCAGCCACCTTTCTCTCCATAGGGCCAACAAAAATGCTAATTGAGCACCACATTATTTATGACAGTTAAGAGTAAGGCAGGTAAATTTTGTCTAGTGTGCTCCAAATTAAAAATCAACAAGGCTAACTGAGATGCCTAAAATCAGGTGCTAACATATTTGCAAAATCTTTCAGTGGAAATAGTCCTGGTTCCTCCTGATTCCTGAAATAACCAAATGTTCTGTTTCTCACATGGTCACTCATTACCAGATAGGTACCCACTCAAGTGCCATCCCAAACTAATTCGGTTTGTGTATCACCCTGCCTGCAGAACACAGACCATGACGCCGCCGATTCGGTTTGTGTGTCACCCTGCCCGCAGATCACAGACCATGACGCCGCCGATTCGGTTTGTGTGTCACCCTGCCCGCAGATCACAGACCATGACGCCGCCGACCCGCGCGGTCCGCCACCGCTCGCGACGCCGCCTGGCCGCGCTCGCCTTCCTCTCCAACATCTCCCTGGACGGCACGTACCGCGACACAAAGATCAGCGGCCTGAACCAGCGGCGCGTGGCGCCGGCGCCCGCCGCCACAGACTCCGGTTACGCCCTGGACGCGCCCGGCGCCGCCGTCACCGCGGCTGCAGCAGTACCGGCGGCGGGCTCAGAGACTGCCGAGGTCCCGGCCCCGGTGGATGCTGTGGACGGGTCCGGGGGACCGTCGGCGCCGGCCGCCGCGGCGGAGACGGTGGCGCCGGTGGGGGCCGGAGCGGCCCGCCCGCCGCCCGTGCTGGGCCGTCTGCGACGACAGAAGAGTGTCGACTCGAGCTGTAACGGCGAGACGACGCGCGCCGCCGAGGCAGCCGCCGTCACACATCGGGAGAGGTAGGTCCGCGGCAGCCGGGGCACTAATCGATACGCATTACACGACTGTATTTACACGGAAAAGCGATAAATACTCATGGTGACACATTTGGTGATCTATTCGTGGACCTTGAACTATGTATCTCAAAAACAATTTTATCGAGTTGTATGAGTTTGTATCTTGTGTCACCGGTGATAATGGCCCCTAACCGGTGCCCCCGCCACCCCAGGTGTCTGACAGTGGGCGGCGATTCTGACGGCATTCTGAAGCGGCTGGTACACCAGACCAATATTGGCAGTCTGTTGGACGACATGCGCGGCGGCCACGCCAGCAGCAGCTGCGAGAGCGTCTGTGGCAGCGGTGAGTACGGTGCACGCGCGAGGCTGACTGACGGGGGGTCGTACCTAGCCGTGGGCATGGTGGCAGGCAAGGCTAGCTGATAGTGAGGCGGGATTAGCCGGTGTTCAGTAGGGAATGGAAGAGAAAATGGGCTTTCACTGCCGTCTTGTATCCAGCTGCTGTGGGTCCGTGAAATTCATGGTGCTGAAGAATAAAAATATGATAGTGGGACTCGTTTAAAATAGTCTGTTTGTTCCCTTTCCTGTCACCCTCGTTTGCCCACTTTAATTTGCCCCGCTCCTACGGGGTCTCAGGCTAGCCGGCGTCTCACCTTCAGAGAGTGGCGGCTGCGCCTGGCCGCCGCCAGCCACTGAGGCAGGCTGCGGTGACGGGCCGTCCGACGCGGGCGCGCACTACGGCTGCTGCTGTGGCCCGTCGCCCCCTCCGCCGCTCCGTAAGGCGGTGTCTGTGGCCGTGTTAGAGGGCCTCCCCATTTGGGCCATCCACGGCCGCTGCTGCTGTGTAAATGTCACTGCGTCCGAAGTAGTGCGTGCATTCACAATAAGCTGATTCCGATGTCACTGCCGTGTTCTTCCAATACACTGCGTCGTGTTAGTCTGTTCTCTCAGCACACCTAAACAATTTCCCTTCAAATCGGTGAGGTAGATTATGTGCGCAATGAGCCCAAGCTAATGCGCAATGTCGCGCCCTTGTGCACTGCGCTGTCGGCCTTCAGCTGGATTTGGTATTGTGTTCATGATTGGGACTTGTAGTCTTCGTCACTATACATGTTAGTCACTTTACTCGACGTTGTGTCACCGAATGATTGGTGTATCTTCACACATTCCCTCACATGTTTTGGTTGATAAATGGACATTCTTGCTGGAATCTATCCAAAATATTTATACTCCAACATCTTTTCAACATTAATCCGATCTGACATCTTTTCTGTTGATAAATTGGAGTTATGAAAGGTTTGGGGACCTGTATTTGTGTGCTGCCATTGCGACTTTATCTACCACCACCCCGCGCTTTGCCTGACTCTCACGCTGTCCTCGCTGTGTTGGCAGTGCGGAGCCACAAGCTGTGCAGCAGCGTCTCGGAGGTGTCGGCGCCGGCCGTGCGGTTCGTCCACTCGGTGCGCGACCGGTGCCCGATGGCCGACGAGCGACTGGTGCTCGTCTCGGCCGCCCGGCTGCCCCTGCTCGTGCACTCGCTGCTGCCGCCGGGCCGCGCGGCGCGCACCGGCAGACGGGAGAGACACGAGCGGTCTGACCACAGCTCGCGGCGCCGATACAACTCCGGCAGCCGCGCGCCGCTGACCACCATCGCCGACCGAGTGGACGCCTTCTGTCTGCTGGGACTGGAGCCGCTGCAGGAGGGACAGGTGGGACAGGAGGGACTGGAGCCGCTCCAGGAGGGACAGGTGGGACAGGAGGGACTGGAGCCGCTCCAGGAGGGACAGGTGGGACGGGTGAGACGCTATAAGAGAGACAGTTGGGACGGTTGGGACAATTCAATAAGGACAGGAGAGATCGCTATAGTTTGACCGAAACTACAGTTTGACTGGTTTATCTAGTCGACGCTCCCTCACCCATTCGATGTCTACTTTATAATTCACAACAATCCTCAGGGCTGTGGGACCAGGTAAGCACGCTGTTCTTGCCACTGTTTGTTTTGTCTTTGTCCTCTCCAATCCACGCTGAGCCCTCTCTCCTCACCAACTCCCCGCTCTGCCCGCCCACAGGAGGTGTCATACAGCCAGCTGCTGCAGCCGTCCTCTGCGGCGTTCCGTCCGCCGCGCCGGCTTCACTCAGTGGAGAACGAGCTGGAGGCCGCCGCCGCCGTCCACCAGAGGAACACCGCCCTGCACGTGCTCAACCGCTGTGTGTCGCACGACCCGAGCGGGGCCGCGCGGCCGGCCGCCACAGCGCCCTGGACTTCCGCCGACAGGGGAGACAAAGGTTAGGAGATGGAGTAGTGGTCGGGGAGACCGATCAGAGACGGATAGTTGGTAGGCGAAGGAGACGGATTGGGGAGACAGGACAGGTAGTCGGTGAGACACATTGGACCCAAAAAAGATCGGGGAATTCATATTGTGACGATTAATAACATATTAGCGGTAGTTTTGAACAGTTGAGTGCTGGCTAGAGTGGTCATTGGCCATCATAGAATCTTCCCAGCACAGTTCCTTTCGGTGGATTGACTGTGCGTCCTTACGGTGGCGTGACACTCGGTCGCTGTCTGTCCGTATGTCGACACCTATCGCCATTCTAACGTCTGTCCATGTCTGCGCGTTCTCTCCAGTTCTGGAGGAGGAGCCGTCTAGCGAGTCGCAGGCGATTCCGTATGACCCTCTGTTGCTGGATAACCCGGAGACCCAGTCGGAGAACCACCGCACCGTGCTGACGTTCCGTTCCTACCGGGTCAGTCGCCGCCGAGCGCCGGGAGACAACGGGGGAGGGCTGGGAAGGCCATTGTGGTCGGGATGTGTGATTATCTGATATTCAATGATGTATTCAGTGGGTCCATATGAGATATACACTACAGTGTCTCCAGTGATGCAATGAGACGCCACCTGTTTGGTGTCGCTCACCCAGTGATTTGATAAGACACCGGACTTAGTCAGGGAATGACATTCCCTGACTTGAAGTCAGGGAATGTCATTCCCTGACTTCAATATCTTGTGTTGCTCTTCAGTCATGTGATGAGACATCCCTTGTGCCATCCCCCAAGTGGTACAATGAAAGTGTCCCCGCTCCCAGAGTGATGAAATGTGACACGCCCTGAACATATTCCCTCTGCTCCTCACAGTCGTCCATCATTGACTACATGAAGCCGTCGGAGCTGAAGAGGGTGACCAACGAGCAGTTCCGAGAGCAGTTTCCGCATATTCAGCTCACTCTCTCCAAACTGCGCAGGTAAGCTGTGTGGCAATGGGTCGGTGGTGGGGGGGGGGGGGGGGAGGACAATGAGATGGCTGGAATTCCATGTGATGCGTTGGGAAGAGGAGTGCAATGCTGTCAGTGCGGGTAGCAGGTTTACGTGGGGATGCTGATCCGGGTCGTAAGATATCTACAATCGGAGGATCACTCGGTCAGCTTTTATTACCGCGGTTCCCCCGTGTGCCCGTGAGCAGGCCCCATCTGGTCCCGCACTGACTGATCCGAGCTCTCCTATTTCAGTTCCCCGTACCCTCTGAACTCAGCTCCACCAACCCCGTATCGCCCGCAGTCTGAAGCGCGACCTGCGCCGTATCGCCAGTGAGTGCCACATCGACTCCCTGAGTGTGGCCCAGGCGCACGTCTACTTCGAGAAGCTGGTGCTGCGCGGTCTGATCGACAAGGCCAACCGCAAACTGGTGGCCGGCGCCTGCCTCCTGCTCTCAGCTAAGATGAATGATGTCAAGGGCGAGTCGATGAGCCAGCTGGTTGAGGTGAGACTGAGAATGGTAGGGAGACAGGGGAGGAGAAATTGTTTAGAACGTGGGCCCCAGCTACGAATGAAATAAAAACGTGGGCTTAACGAAATTGTTGGAATGTATGTTTGGGCTACCGGTAATGGGACGATTGAAATGAAATCGAAAATTGTTTGCTGCTACAGTCTACACAATAAAAAATTGGCTTTGTCGGCATTGAGGGATATGCCTATTTAGGTCAGTGTATCCCATGGGCTTCTATTTTTTTTTTTTTGCAACGACAGTGGTATGGTAAGCCAGGTCAACCCTGTAAATCCTCCCGACCGCCGCTGGCACAATGGATATGAGTCGACGGCGGTTCTCATGCGTTGTTTACACTAGCTCAGCCATCCAGAAGCACTGTCTGTGTGTGCGGCGTGTCTGTTCCACTTCACTGACCGTCACCCCTCCATTCGCAGAGGACGGAGACCGTGTTCCGCATCAACCGTCGCGACCTGATCACCTGCGAGTTCAGCGTGCTGGTGGCGCTCGAGTTCGCCCTGCACCTGCCTCCCAGTGAGGTGGAGCCCCACCTGCGCCGTCTGGAAGCCTGACGACTGCTGATTTAGCCGGCCGGGCCGGCGGGGAGAGAAGAGAGGAAGACAGAAAGAGAAAGAGAGAGAGAGGGAGAGAAAGAGAGAGAGAGAGAGAGAGAGAGAGAGAGAGAGAGAGAGAGAGAGAGAGAGAGAGAGAGAGAGAGAGAGAGAGAGAGAGAGAGAGAGAGAGAGAGGCGTAAGGAATCCCTGCCCTTGGAGGAGAGAGGGATGACACCGTCTCCCTAAGGAGACAAGACGGCGCTATACATATCTCAGCTCTCGGTGAAAAGTGGGAGGTGTGACCCAGCACCATTCGCTCCAGGGCCCAATCTTATAGATGTCGTGAATATGATTTGGCAGCACTAGCTGAAGTTCAGCTACGATAAGCTATGCTACGCTATCGCATGCTAATTGGTCTTCAGGCACTCCTATCCATTGTTTGCTGACGCTCAAAGAAACTGGCATGTCACGCAGTTCGTTACTTAGATGCGCAGTTGCCAACACCGTTATCAGTATACACATGCTGCGAAGTGCCATAAAGAGGAAAGTACGACACTTTAAGATTGGGCCGTGGAGGAAAGAATGGCGACCCTGCATCCACCCCTTGAAGGAGAGAGGTGTGATATTACACCCGGCACCCTGAAGGACAACGGTGACAGTGCTTCCTCTACCGAAGGAGGCGAGACACTACCCGATGGATGAACAATTGGCGTTAGTTAGATTGAATGGTGTTCCATGCGGGCTGTTCCTGAGTTTGAGTGGATTTATGATTTTGCGGGTGTGACTCGGCAGTTTTGCTGATAAGACTTTGTGGCAAAGGGTATTGAGATCGTAACGGGACCAGGTCGAGCTTGATGATGAAGACAATGGACAAAGTGGCGGACGCATTTGACTGCCAGAGTTTTGTTTCTGGAGTGTCCAAGAAACTCAGTGTTGTGGGACGTCATACCGCGATGCCGGCGGCTGCTATGGCGTGTTGGCTGCTGCTACGGTGTATATACCTACACTTGTGTCCGTCCTTCTCTGACGTCTACCAGCTTGATCGTCCGGCATTTCGACTGCCCCCATACGAGTACCATATACTCGTAATTTCCTAAAACCGGCGGTGAATATTAAAACGGAGCTGTCTTGCCACATGCACTTTGCGTTTTTGTCGTTGGAGTAGCTAGTAAGCTGAGTGCATAACTGCGATGTTATTGTAACCGCGATAGATCCGGGCTTACGGTTAAGAGACACTGTGTGCTAAAACGTGTAGCTGTGACTCGTCGGGAGCTTTCTGAGCTGTGTGTCGCTATTGAAGCGTGGCCATTACGTTGTCACTGGCGGCTAGCCCCAATGTCGATGTCGCTGTTACATGCCACGATATTTTCGAGATGCAGAGAAGTTGGAACTGAAGAGGCTCGCTTCATCGTATAACCGCCTGATCGTGTGCAATATTGTTTATTGTTGACGGGTGACTGCTGGGTTAAGTGTGGTTGTTTGGGTGCCGTGTGTATATTTACAATATTATTGAGCGCTGACGAGTGACTGTACTGGACGTTGTTGTTTACCGTGTGCAATATTGTTGAGCGCTGACGAGTGTGTGCTAGACTGGGTGCTGTGAGTTATTATAACTCATAGGGACGTGCCAGCTCGCCGTTCCGTGGTGTAAGATTCAGGCCGCGCACGGTGCTGTCGTTGGCGTGTTTCCGTTATTCAGATATCCGAGGTCGCTATTGTAAAGCTTCTGGAGTTGAGGTGTGTCCGACCCTCAATAAACGTACATTGACAGTAACGTGGCTGTTTAATTGGCGTTTTTTCTTCTTTTAATGGTAGCTGAGCTGCAATAGATCGGCTAAGGAACGTTGATTTACTCCTACACAAACTATACGAAGTTGTTCTCTATATTCTTGAGTGTTCTGTAGAACTTTAAGTAGCATAAAGTAAAGCGGTATCCATCGTGATTTGATCGCACGACGTATCGTTGAGGTGAACACACGTAGGTAAGTTGTTATCACGATGGAATTATCGAAGCTCCTATTATAACGCAGACCAGACGTTACATGGCACGAAAACTGCAACAAAGGCGCAACGGGCTGGAAACTGCAATAGTGTACCTATCATTAGCGTCGCCACGGGGGGGCAAGCGGGGCAGCTTGCCCCCCCAACCTCGGACCGGGCACACCCTGAGATCGATACAGATCCGATGAGATTTTGGAGTCGGGAAAAAATGGGGGTACCTTTCTGAGAATGCCTGTGAGGTCAGACTAGGTTGGAGCGTGCAATTCAAACCAGAGTCTGACTCGCAGTCGCCAAAATCTTCAAGACTCCGAGTCCAGACTCGGAAATGTCAATGCTGTGATTCATTTCATGTTCCTAGTTCGTTCTTTATTACATTTTACAGCTGATTTTCATAAGTTTTGGAGTGCTGACACAATTTTCGTTCAAAGCGTGAAACGAAATCTTCGCGGGGCCTTTCTCAACTCTCGTCAAATGTCTGCGACAGGCTCAAGTACCGTACAAGTGTCGCAGGGCTCATGACTGACTCTGTCAGTCATGAGCATGACTGACTCGTGGAAACTTACGCTGGTCCATCCTATTCCCAAGGCATCAAAATCCGACGACTTTAGCAGCTACCGGCCTATCTCCATTCTCACCACTATTGGTAAAATCACCGAGCGCGTCGTCTCTGAACAGCTTTATTCCTATTTCTCTTCTCATCACCTGTTTTCTCCAAACCAGCACGGCTTCAGAACCAACCACTCCACGGACACTGCTCTACTCACCCTGACCGATCATGTTTTCCGGAGCATGGACCAGCGTGAAGTCACCGTTCTCTGTCTGTTGGACTGCTCGCGCTGCTTCGACTGCATCCCACACAGCTCGCTTCTGCGTAAGCTCGAGCTCTACGGTGTAGATACCCGCTGGTTCCGGAGTTACCTTGCCAATCATTATCAGCGTGTGCAGCTTCACTCTACCGGACCGTCTCGTGCTCACACGCTCTCACAGCCGCTACTAAACCCTATCGGTACCTACCAGGGTTCATCGCTCGGGCCATTGTTGCACAATGTGTATGCTAATGACCTGCCGCTCTACACCGACAACTCCACCGGCATCATCGCCTACGCGGACGACGTCCAACTGTACGTTTCCGGACAGCCGAGAGACATCGTTCAGCTGAAACGGTCACTGGAAGGCAGTCTATCAGTTCTGTCGAACTGGTATGGCAAGAACGGCCTCAAGTTAAACGCTGCCAAAACTCAGCTGATCGTCCTCGGCACGCCGGAGATGACTCGTCGTCTGCCTCCCATTACCATCAACTTCTGCGGCTCCACCATCACCAGCTCTGACACTGTCAAGAACCTGGGAGTATGGTTTGACAGTGACATGTCGTTTGTGACGCATACCAGTGACGTGGTGCGGCGGTGCACCGGTACCTTGTGTGGCCTGAGTCACAGTAGACACAGTCTCCCAGCGACAGTCATGGTAACGTTGGTGCAGGGGCTCGTCTTGTCGATTATTAGGTACTGTCTGTCCGTTTACGGTGCCAGCAATGTAACCCAGCGCAAACGACTTCAAAAGCTGGTTAGGTTTGCTGCACGAGTCGTCTCAGGCCGTAGGAAGTATGATCGGGTGAGCGATGTTATCAACGAACTCGGCTGGCTTAACACCGAGAGCTTGTTCAGGTACCAATCCATCGTGCTGGTGAACAAAATGCTGGCCACGTCAGAGCCGCAGCAGTTCGCCACCTGTCTAGTCACCCGGCAGAGTGTACAAGGGCGGGATACCAGGTACAATGACATGCTTGTGACCCCCACTGTCAGGTCAGAGTCCGGACGTCGCCGTTTTCTGTACTCTGCGGTGTCAGGGTACAACGAGCTGCCGGCGGACCTGCGCGCTCTTAGTCAGGCTCGATTCAAGCCGGCACTGAGGGAGCATTTGTTTGACCGCGAGCGAGCCACTTAGCTGTCCTAGTTAGCACACGTGATGAGGGTGAATGTGTGAATGATTGCGGTGACTGTTGTCATATCCCATTCGATTTGTATATGCACAACGACTTGGACATAGAATAGCCGTGTTTCCACGGACATGTCTGTAATGTGAAATAAATAAATAAATAAATGAGCTTGCTTTAAACAAAGGCTCCTAAGGAGCTCCACTAAGCCCTAAAGAAGCTTTCAGAGGGCCCAAACCGGCCTCTGAAAGTCCCACTGGTGTCCATGTTCTCTGAGGGCCCATACAGGGATCTTTGAGCCTTCGAACATTTCTGAGAACCTTAACTGGCCTCTGATAGTTCAGCCAAAACTTTTGAGGCGACAAACTTTGCTAACTCCAAGCCGGCATCTGAGGGGTCACAGCTCACGCAGCGGCGTATTTAGAAAATCGCGAAGGGGGGGGGCCAAGGGTTTGGAGGGCGCCACCTCACCCAAGGAGGGCGCCATACGGTCGCGAGATAAAAAATCGCTCAGTGGGGGTTGGGGGGTTGGGAGGCGTTTTTTACCATGCCACCAGTTTTTTTTTTTGCGTAACCTCGTATAGGTCGTGCTGCATTGATTTTGCATCGTGTGTATTCTTTATACTCCAGGTCACAAAAGGTCAAGTGTTCTTGAAATGCTGCGCCGAAGGCGCGCGAAATTTTTGAAAACAACCTTTTCCTCCGCTTTTTAGGCACGCCTTTTATACGATCACTGTTCAAAGCTCCTCTCGCTCTTTTACCAAATTTGAAGGTGTAAAAAATACCTAAGGTTTGGTCGGGCCGCTGCCACACAAACTGTACAGAAAGCTTGGCTCATGGGTGTCGATGTATAAAAGTTTATTGGCGGTAGTATTCTATGACCGTGATTGGCGGTGGCATATCTACGCACCAGATCACCGTATCGGATTGATACCGGAGCGCGAGATGCGTAAACATCATCCAAATTACCTCAGACCAGCCTTCATAGCCTTCTCACAGATGCATACAGTGTACCCACATAACCAGTTTCAATCACCGAAACTTCAGATGCCTGCTGTTGCGCCCGAACCTGTTGACAATACTTAATCGTAATCCATATAGACATGGGTGGAGAATGTTTGAAAAAGTTACCCCGGCCGGCGACCGATAGTCGCGGGAAGACGATATACTCACGTTGTTCTCAACGGTCATCATCAAACCCCAATTCTGACGCATGGAATAGGATGCTGTGTTTGCTCAAGGATGAGCGTTGTATCCGACACCGTATTATTCATAACATTTTTGGAATGATCGAAAAGGCAATTTCCTTTTAAATTATTATTTCTTTTTGCTTAAGCTTGCAATTTCACACCGAACCCAAACCAAACCATATGCCATTTTGAGTACCTAAATGTTGCGTTTTCAGCTTTTTATTGTGTCTCAAAATAGCTACAAAAAGACAACTCACCATAGTAGAAGCTTTACAGAGAAATTGACAGATCGAACCAAGCAAAGCACTAAAATAGGTCACTGACATCCACGGGCGTAGCCTTTTTCAATGTTGGGCGGCTCTTATAATACAAACAGGGAGTCGATCCAGGAATATCGACCGGTCCCAGTCTCGTAGCTCAGTTGCTAGAGCGTTGGATTCCGCGTGGCGAGAGCACGCAGCCCGGTTACAACAGTCCGAGTTCAAAGCATGATGGCCGCTCGGTGTTTATGAGCACCCTGACGGGTACGCTCATAAACGGGTGTGGTTGCGGTTGGTGGCAGGTCAGTTGAAGGCAATGAGGTCAAGCAGTAGTTTTGAAAAAGTGCGCCGAAGGCGCGCCAAAATTTCGAGACTGAGCAGGATTTGAGAGCAATCTTGGCATTGGCGACCACACGCGGGTCTTAGGGTTGGAGATTATGGCAAGTTAAGTAAATGGTAAATACCTACCTGATTTGCAATATTACGCCCATGGAAGTCAACATTCGAAGAGCGTGAGTTTTCTTTTCTCGTATGGAGACAGCTTTTAGGATTTACAAGAGTAGAAAAGTTACCCCGGCCGCGCCGGGGTAGGCTGAAAGTTACCCCGGCCACGGCCGGGGTGGCCGGGGCAGGTTCTCCACCCATGCATATAGATGCCATGATGCACGTAAAGTAGGATCAATCCGTTAAGACCAAAGACGTGTTTTATGCATCGTAGAGCGTAGATAGTTTTGGTAGGTATAGATACTTCATTCATTGTGCTGAATGCACGTTCATTTGTGGCAGTTTTCACAGGCAAGACATCAACTATGTGCAATAGAACGACTAAGTTGAAAAACATGCCAAAGGAGTAAATAAATGATAGGAGGGCAGCGATCAACGGATGTTGCCAATAGGTAGAAGGGCTGCGATCCACAGGAGGGCACTAATAGGTAGAAGAGCCCCGGTGCGAGCGACTTTAGCGAGTGTCATTTGAGCGAACGTCATTTGAGCGAACCATTTTCAGCGACTGGCGACTTAGCGAATATCAAATTGAGCGATTATCAAATATAGCGATTATCAATTTAAGCGAAAGCTATGTTTCAGCGACATCTTTTTCGTCGACTACAGTTTGAGCGACTGTCATTTCAGCGAAACACTTCATCGTCCCGTAACGGTGTATTTTTCTTTTTCTTTTTTTCTTTTGCGAGCGTACGTACAACGAATGTTTCCGTAACTTTTCATGGTTATCCGGAACTGGATGGCGGATGTCACGTTCAAAGTTCAGACATTAAGCTCCAAATTTAATGCCGCATTTCTCAAAAATTCCAGCGGTTCGATTTCACCCCCCCCCCCCCTGCTGTTTGCCAATACTGATGACCAAGCGTTTGTTCAGAGATTCATATTGCTT